ACAGGTCTTTTCTATTGTACAAGAAAGTAGTCATCCACGACATTGGCAACTATCACCAGATCTGCCTCTTGTCTGTTGTCTACAAGCTCGAGTCATCCTGAATATGATTGACAGAGCACTAGATGAAGGAAAACCAGGCGAACAAGCCAGTTTCCGAAAAGGATTCAGCACAATCGACCATATCTACACGATAACCAACCTCATTGAGGTTTCTGTGGAGTTCAAGATGCCGCTCTGTCTAACGTTCATTGATTTAAAGAAGGCCTTTGATTCTGTTGAGACTAAAGTGGTCACTGAAGCCCCGACCAAACAGGGTGTACAAACTCAATACATCAGGATCCTTCATGAGCTGTATTGCAGATTCAGTACCAGAATGTCACCATTCTACAGGGAGGTGATCATTGATGTCAAGATAGGGGTTTGGCAGGGTGATACCATTTCACCGAAATTCTTCAGTGCTACCCTTGAGAATGTTATGCGATGACTAGAATGGGAAGGAATGGGAGTGAAGATAGATGGTCGGCAACTATAACACCTCTGCTTCGCTGATGACATTGTTCTAATAACACCAAACATCAGCCAAACGGTACAAATGCTGTCTGAGTTCGACTGTGAGTGTGGAAAGGTCCAACTACAGCTAAATCTCATGAAGACAATGTTTATGAGAAACGGTCTCGTTCCTGATATTCCATTCGTTCTCAACGGGACAAATATCTCTGAATGTAACAGTTATGTGTACCTAGTTCGAGAAGTCAGCATGATGAATGACCTGGCACCCGAGTTGCGCAGGAAGAAGAGAGTGGCTTGGAAGGCCTTCAAGAGCATTCAAGAAATAGCTAAGAGGACGAAGAACCTCCGGCTCTGGGCACATCTCTTCGATTCCACTGTTCTTCCTGCATTAACATATGCCTCAGAGACCTGGGCCCTATGAAAACAGAATGAGAACGCTATTCAAGTCTCTCATAGAGGAATCGAAAGAGCTATGCTTGGAGTATCATGTTTCACTCAAAATAGAGAAAGAATCTGGAGTTATGACCTCTGAACTGAGAAACCTGAGAACTAATATTAAACTGTGTTTCTTAAGGTAGATTCCTCTGAGTCAAAAATGTGATGCAATACCTTCAGTTATTTCTCACTTTAACTACACATTTTGTGTATGTTTTAGTGCATAGATACTTCTCTTTATTTTGTTAAAATTCTTTTGATTAATTGGTGCGATTTGGGGGATGTTATTAAAATGCCATATCTTAAAACTTCAGTTTTCAATTGTTGGTAGTATTTAGATTATACAGTTACTAAGTTTTATATTTGTGCTTCTATGGTCTTAGTTGTTTTTTGTAAATAGCTGCTTTCATTTAGAAACAGAAGACAACTTTAACTTTTTTTTTCTGGTCTTCATGTCTGTTGTTCCCTGACAGCATGAGCTGGGACCTTCAGGGTAAGACTGAATGGCAATGGTAGGAATCGTTGAGCATTGAATGGAAGAAGCTGAAATATTTCTTCTGGTCTCAGTTTTAGGATGGCAAAAATGTTGTTTTAACCTACATATGAATTATTTTAGCTGGAAGACTTCATGAATTGGGACATGTGATATCTCATTTTCTGTCATTAAAACAAGCTAAAACTTAACTTTTTTTGATATGTTCAAATTAATCTCTCTAGGGCTTTTGCTTTAATGACTTAGGAGTATTAATTCAGTTAGCTCTTATTTCATGGAATTACATCTTCAGCTTCAATTATGTAAATCTGTCATAGTTAGACGTTGGAAGAATTGAGGTTCCAATGTATGAAAATAATCCATTATATATTTTCTTGGTCACATCTGGCTGGTTGTGTGCAGGGTTTACTCCTGGCTCTGCATCTGGGGCTCACTCTTGGTGAGTTCGGGGGACCATGTGGGGTGCAGGGGATCAAACCCAGGTCATCTGTGTGCAAGGCAGGTAACTTATTCACATTGCTCTCTCTGCCCCCCTAAACTATTATCTTTTATAAAGGAAGTCAAAGATAACATATTAAAATTGCAAGTTTGAAAAGGTCAGAATAAATATACTAATTTGACCTAATAAATAACTATGAAAAAAAACATTTAAGGGAATTAAAGGTGATTGCCTTTGTGAGATGATGCTTCTCTCTCAAGTAGAGCAGATGCCTTTTTTTGGGGTAAGGGGCAACAAAACCCTTAATATAACTTTCCCCTTCCCCATCCCTGTATTGTTAATTATTGTATTTAAAATGATTATGGCTCTGCATATTCCAGACTTTTTCTGTAGACACAAATTTATATTTATAATGCAATGCATTATAATTGTGCCATTTTCTCTTTTGTTTTTGGACCACGCCTGGCTGTGTTCATGCTTACACCTGACTTATTTAGGGATCACTTCTGGTAGGCTCATGGAAACATATGGGGTGCTGGGAATTGAACCCAAGTCAGCTGCATCCAAGGCAAGTGTCCTCCTACTTGCTGTACTATATAGCTTTGTTTTATTTATCAAAGTTTTATTTAAAATTTCTCAGTCTTTAAAAATTTATTATCATTTTTGGTTTTGGGGTTCTACCCAGTGGTGCTCTGGGATATTCCTGACTCTGTGCCGTGGAGTGACCCATACCAGTGTTAAAGGTACCATGTACCGTTTGTGGTACTGGGATTAATCTGGGGTCCACTGCATACAAAGAAAGTATAACTTACTGTAATGTTTCTCTAATTATTTTGACTCTTGATTATTCTTCTTGGGGAGTGAAACTTCATACAAGGTAGGATTTTTTGTTTCTGATTCACCGTTCTACTATCAGTAATTGTAAGCGTCTGGAAAACTGTGGGCAGTGGCTGTTTATCTGGTAGGGAAGTCTCCTAAGTTGTTTTTTGATACTGTTGCCAATTCTGATCCTTCTGAAACTCCTCTGGAAGGCCAATTTTTCTTGTGCCTTCAGGATTGGGTCCCGGTTTTCAGTTGTTTATGCTTTTCACTTCTCTTTTGAATATGCAGGTATTTAACATTTGCTAGAAGAAATTCCTGTTTAATTCTTCCTAGATATTTTCTTTCCTTTTTGATATTACTCAGTCTTTTTGTATTTCACTTCTCCAGCTGTCCCTTCTTTGGTTTCATTGATGTGCTGTTAAAGGAATTAGCCTATATTGAAAAATACCATTTTCTTGCTTTTCTTTATCTAGACTGTAGGTTTGTCTAAAGTATCCAGAATTAGTGCTTAATATAAGTTAAATGAATGAATGACATAGTATTTTCTGTAGTGTGTAAACTCACACAAAATAGGGGGCACGGCACCCACAGCGGTGGTGGCTCTGTCTCTCCCGCCGCCCGCATTCGGTAGTCTCACCCTTCTCCCACCCCGGAGAGGTCGATGGCTATGGTCAGGCAGAGGAAGGAACGAGAACCAGGCTGGTAGGTATTAGTCGTAGTTTATTCTGATTCTCTCCTCATCTGTCTCTGCTCCTGTCTCTCTCTGTTTCTCCTCGTCTCTCCTTCTGTCTCTGCCCCCTTGCCCAATCTACGGTCTCCTTATATCTCTGTCCAAGAGGAATTGGGGAAAACAATTACATAGGTGCAGTCACGATCAACAGGGGTAGAAATCTTAGCCTCAGGGAAGACCGCTCCTAGGACAGATCCTTCCTCAGCAGGAGGACCCACCCTAGAGCATAATCCCATGGGCGTGCCTCTCCTCTCCTTGTCCCACAAGCATATAAGAATATAATATAAATCATTTTGTATGGATACAGTAAGAAATATCTTAAACTTATAGAATTGCTCTCCTAGGGCTATCTCGATCTCAGACTATGGTGCTCAGGCCAGATAGTCTTTCCCACCCCTAGCAGGATCCTAGTCTTGTCGTTACCTTTGGATCATGACAGCATTTGTCTATGATCAAACTCTTAACTTATAGTTAAGAATCATGGCACTTTGGCCTGGCCCATTTCGCTGCCAGGGTAGCTCACTGCTTGCCCTGGGTCCATTCAGTCCCTCCTCGGGACCCTGCTTTTGGGGTGTTAGGAACTAAGGGCAACTGAGGTTTAAGTCGAGAAAGCAGATGCCCAGGGGTGAATAATATTCAAGGCCAATCAAATCCTAAATTACAAAGTATAATGTTAACGGTCTTCCTGTATCTATACAAAAAGGATATTACTTTAAGGTAAACTATTCATAAGGCATAAGGAGAGGAGAAAGGCAATATTTCACTCATATATATAAAATCATAGATTTCTGGGAAACTGATCTTACAAATTAACAAAGTCTGATTAAGGGGAAAGCTGATTAACTGGGTGGGAAGGAGAGCATAGGGAAGACTGTTTACATGTTTACATGTAAACACAATGGAAGTGGAAGTGCTTCAGGAGCACTGTGATGGGTGTAACCAGATTGATGGGTGTAACCAGATAAACCTAAGCTTCTTGAAGGACAAAGCAATGTTACCCAACACTGTAGTGCTTGGAATGTGAATTTAAATTGGATTTTTGTTTTTTATGTGTCTAAGTGGAGTGATAGCACAGCAGGTAGGGCATTTGCCTTGCATGTGGCCGACCCGGGTTCAATTACTCTGACCCACTGAGAGTATCCCATCCACATGGCAGAGCCCGGCAAGCTCCCTGTGGTGTATTTGGTAAGCCAGAAAAAATAACAACAAGTCTCACAATAGAGACGTTACTGGTGCCCTCTCAAGCAAATTGATGAACAACAGAAGAACAGTGCTACAGTGCTACATGTGTCTAACCTATGTGACTATTTTAGATATTCTATATGGTATGCATTTTATTGTTTTTTATGTTTGCATTTGAAAAAGTTCTTGAATTGAATTTTTTTGATGTTACATAACTATCATTTCTAGACCCCACAGACTATAGTTTCAGACTGATGGAGAAATTGGCCCTTTAAAACATTATGCAGTATAGTTGTATGTAGCTATTAATATGAAAGATGGAATCATTACTGTTGGATAACTGATACTTAAACAGCATGAATTAATTTTAAAAAAATCTTATTTTACAGGGAAGTCTTAAGAGGAGGCGGCAGATTTCACCTCAGGAATTCATCTATGAACTGAAAATTGGCTCCGTGGATGAGAGACTTGTCACGTGCCTAGAATCACTCCGAGTGTCTTTAACTAGTAACCCTGTGAGGTAAATTTGTGGAAACATCAGCAGGGCATTTACTAAATTAAACAAATGTCATTAATCTGCCATTTTCATTTAACACTTTCTTCATGGCGTAACTAAATTAATGGTGTACCTCAAAACGTCTCAAGGTAAAAATTGAATACTTAAGGTTTAAATGCATGGAGAAAGATAGTTTTAATACTACTGTTTGAAATTATTTTTGAGAGATAGCCTATGAATTTAATTATTCTATTTGAATTTTCAAAAATTATGATATTTTCAAGAAGAGAACAATCAGAAAACATAAATTTTTAATTTTGAGTGGCTTTGCTCTGAATTTAAGTCTTGTACACATACAAGATTTCTATTTGAAATGACAGAAAATACATTTAACTTTAGCCTTTAGTGGAACAGGTGTCTGCATAGTAACCCATGGCTGTTGACAGAGGTATTTATCAAATAAAAAGATAGCATGCAATGCAATCTGAATACCAGACATTCTTGCAGTAAAAATTGTTATCTGAAATTCAAATTTAGATGTTTTATATCTGGCAGCATTATCATAGGTGCCTCCTTATGTCAGTTTTCAGCCTGTTTCCCCCCAATTAAAAAATATTATTTAAAATTTTTTAAAGAACTGTGATTTACAAAATGATTAATAGGTGGTTTTAGACATATAATAGTTCAACATCAATCTGACCACCAGAGTCAACTCCTCTCCACCAGTGTTCCTATATTCCCTCCTCACCCCAATCCCATTTCTGTCTGTCAACTTGATAAGGAACATTACAAAGTTTCAGTGGTTGTGCCTTAGCTCTCATGTTTTCAGTTTTGTTGAGTCTGTGTTTTGCCTCCATGGCTACACCACTCACCCATATCACCCGTATAACTGAAATCCCATTGCCTGTTCACCCATTACGTCTCGTTTTCTTCTTCCCCCCTTGATTTATATCCTTCTCTGTCTTTCTCTCTAAACACTGGGTGATCTAGACATCCCCCTCTTACTATATTTCCTCATCCAGTATTTTATATACCATAGAAACGTTGTCTTCTCTGACTTCACTCAATAATTTTTTTCTAGTTCCAACCACGTTGCAGCAAATTGAATGATTTCATCGTTTTTTGCAGCCGTATAGAATTCCATTTTGCATAAATACACCCCTTTTGAGAGCGTTTTTTATGTGGTGGAGGTAGATGTTCCAGGGTAATTGCTGGGTCATATGATAGCTCAATTCTAAGTTTACTGAGCACTCTGCATACTGTTAAAAAATTATTAAAGCACCTTGATTTACAAGGTTATTTATATTTGGGTTTTAGTTATACTATGTTCTATCACTGGCCCCACCTCCTGTGTCTTCTCCTTCCCCTAGGGTTCCCAGGTTCCCTTACACCCACCTACCCCATTCCTAGCCTGCCACTTGGATGGTTTTTAAATTAAATTGTAATTGATTTTAATGAAAAATGCACATTCTTAACTTTGGTTAGTGAAGATTTGGGTCTAGTTTTTTTCTGTGTTGTTGACTGTGGTTTAGATATTTAGCTACACCTCTCATTTACACCGCCAGTGTGCTTGGGTCCCCACTGATCCTTGTTCCCCATTGCTTCCTGTTTTTTCCTTTTAACCCCCTGATTTTTTTCTCTCTTCTCTTTCTCCTTCCTGTACTCTGGGGCCAAGGTTGATTTAGGCATCCCCCCTTCAAACATTGCATTTCCTCCTCCAGTTCTATATACCACTGACAAGTGAGGTCATCCTGAACACAGGTCATCTGTTTTCAGCCTTTTAATCCAGAATATCCTTAAACATTCTCAAGGACGTGTTAGAAACTGAGCAGTCATAAAATCAGAAAACTTCACTGTTGCAGCGCTTTATGGTTGGCCGTTTATGACGTTTTGTGTCTTAAGTGCTTATTTCTGAATAGGAATATTCGGCTTTATGGGAATGAAAAGCCCCAAATATATCAACTAACACTCCTCCCCCATCTCTCTTTCCCCTTTTTCCCCCTCCCTCCCCTTCTCTCCACTCCCTCCCCCTTCCTCTCTCTCCCTCCCCCTCCCTCAGTTACCACCTCTCTCCTCCTCTCTCTCCTCCTTGCCCTTCATCTTTCAAAGACAGTATTTTCTTTCTGAGTTTTAGTCTCCTTGTTTCAGGGGGTGGCAAGTTGAAGTCTCCAACTATTGTGTTTCTAATAGTGTCTTCTTTGGAGTCTATTAGCAGTTGTCTTAAGTGTTTTGCTGGTCCCTCTTTGGTGCATATACATTTAGAAATGTAATATCTTCCATATGTGTATCACTTCACTATGAAAAATTACTTTCGCTGTCTCCTGTAACCTTTTTTCAGCCTAAAAATCTTTGTTGCTGGATACTAGAATGGCCACCCCAGCTTTTTTGAAGTAGTTGTTTGCTGAAAGAACTGTTTTCCAGCTTTTGAGTTTGAGTCTGTGTTTGCTCCGACTATTCAAATGTGTTATGTGTTTCTTGTAGGCAGCAGAATGTTGGGTTCAATTTTTTAATCCATTTTGCCACCCTGTGTCTCTAAATTTGTGCATTTAGACAATTGACATGGAGAGATATTGTCATGGTGTTTGTGCCATCTTTCTTTAGAGGATTACTGTATTTGTGGGGTTTGTCTTGCCTTACAGTAACCCCTTGAATTTTTCTTTCAAAATTGGTTTTGAGTCTGTGAAATTCCTGAGTGGTTGTTTACCCATGAATTTGTGTATTGTTTCTTCAAATATGAATGAGAATCTAGCTGGGAAAAGTATTCTTGGTGAAGCCTTCCCTTTGTTAAGTCTTTTAACTATAGCCCACCATTGTCCTTGGACCTGGAGGGTTTTATTCTATAGGTCTGCTGTAAATCTAAGGGATGCTTCTTCGTATGTCATTTCCTTCTTTGATCTTGCTGCTTTCAGTATTTTATCTCTATCTACAGTGTTCATCGTTCTGACTTCATCATCCTGAGTCAGATATAGATATGTCTTGGAGGTTTGTAGTTTTTTTTTTTTTTTAAATCAGAGTCTCTTTTAGCTGGTACCTTTTGGGCTTCTTGGATCAGGATGCCAGCATTCTCCAGCTATGGAAACTTTCAGCAATGGTGTCTTTAACTACCTCATTGGGGTTACCTCACTGTTCCTCTGGGACATCAATGATTCTTTTGTTCCTCTTGAATTCATTCCTTAGTTCTCTGGTCTGCCCTTGGGTTATTCTGAGATCATTTTCCATCTTTTGCCGTTGCCTGGAGGTTTTCTGCATTTCATCCTCAAGCTCACTCTGTCTTCAGCTGTGGTTACTCTACTGTTGAGGACACCCATTGAGTTTTTCTTCTCATCTATCAAATATTTTATTAATGCCACTTCTGTTTGCAGTTTTCTTATTTCTTTTCTCATTTCCGTCTGTATTTTATTAGTTCTCTGTTCCACTGTTTCTTTCACATCCTCTTGTATTTTATTGGATGTCTGTTTCACTGTTTCTTTGAGCGCATTAAATATCCTCACTATTTTGTCTTTGAATTTCTTATCAGAGAGATTATGTATGTGGGCATCCTTGTTGAGGCTGCAGGGTTTCTATCTTCTACACTCCTTGTGGTGGGTTTCTGTACTGTTTCCCCATGGTGCTTGTGGTAGTCTAGAGGTGGTTCTTTCTAATATACTATCAGCATCCCCACCTCACTGCCAGGGAGGAATCTGGGAAGCTTGGTTGGTGGTAATCTCTTTTTTCCCCCATATAGGATATGGTTGGGGAAGTTAACTGGCTCATACGGTTCTCCTCTTTGAAAACCATACCCACCTGTGGGAGTAGGAGGCCTTAGGACATGCAGCCTCTATTACAGTAGAGTCTGTATCCAAACTGCCTTCAGGAAATATCTTTCTAATGATGACACTGGGTCACCTCTGCATAGGAATATATATGCATGCATATTGCTTGGCCAACCTGAGTTCAATTCTTCCGCCCGTCTCGGAAACCCAGGCAAGCTACCGAGAGTATCTCGCCTGCACGGCAAAGCCTGGTAAGCCACCTGTGATATACTTGATATGCCAAACACAGTATCAGTTGTCACAATAGAGACGTTACTGGGCCCACTCGAGCAAATCTATGAACAATCGGAGGACAGTGCAGTGCATATCTATGTATATTCCTTTGAAGAGTAGAATAGCCAACCGTGGCAGTTAATGATATATAAAATAATCTTTTTTGATACTCTACCTGATTAGTTTTTGGGGTGATGTTTCTGAAGTTTGACTATATGATTAAATAAAAAGCTTTTACAGTATAAGTACTTTAAACAAAATACCCTATCTGCTGAGATATGAAAATACTTGAGGTTTAAGGAGTATGAAAATGAGCAAAGAATCTTTAGTATATTTCTGTTGTAATTTTTAGTTTCCGATACGCCACCACTTTTGCTGTGTTCTTTAGATTGTAACAAAATGGTGAACATGAGCCAGGGACTTTACATCTTTTATTTACGTCTTTCCCAGATTTAGACTATATAAAGCACTGAGTAAAGATTTTTTGATTGGAAGCTATGAGGTTTAATTTCAGCAGTCTATATCTTGTCTTGGCTATTGTTAGAAACTAAGTTGAATTAAGAACTTATTTGGCAGATACAGTCATTCTTGAAGAACTTCTGGGTTCCAGTTTCATCTTTGCTTGTTAAATGTACTATATTAAAAGTTTATGATTGCGACTGGAGCAATAGCACAGCTGGTAGGTGTTTGCTTTGCATGCAGCCAACCCTGGTTCAATTCCCAGCATCCCACATGGTTTCCTAAGCACCACCAGGAGTAATTCCTGAGTACAAAACCTGTGTATTTCTGGGTGTGACCCAAAAAGAAAAAAAAAGTTTATGATTGAGTGCCACTATTTTAAATGTGCAGCTTGAGTAAAAAGTATAACAGACTCAGGTTCCGTTATGAAGTTTAATTATTGGAAGAGAGTATTATTGTGCAATAAACTAACTCCTCAGTTTCTGGCAGTCACTGGACACTAGGAAGGTTTTAATCTTTTAAATGTAATTAGAAGTAGAC